GGTTGGGACGCCGCCGAAGGAGGGGTCATGTGCGACAGAGGTATGCGTTGGTGGGGCAAGGTGCACATGAGGTTGGAGGATTTGGGTAGGGTGCTGGCGGCATGAATGGGCGTGCGTAACTAGCCATACATGTGCAAAATGTGAAGGTGGCCTGGGCAGAGACAGGCGGGGCTTGGCAGGGCGCAGTGGCATGAGACTTGGGAGCAGCGGCGGCTTCTTGGGGGAGGCGGGCGCAAGGCAGGAGGGATCTCGGAGGCCGCCGACGTCGGCACTGGTTCAGCCGGAGCAAATTCGCTGCGTGGCAACACAAGCACGGGAGCTTTCTGGAAACGGCTGGTTGTGGAATTACAGCCAGCTGGACTTCCAAACACAGCACCCGCAGTGTGCTGGTGCAAGCCGCCTGCTCGTGTCGAGGAAGGAGCCAGTCTTTACGGCCTCTTCCGACCCCCCCTCACCCTGCCTTTGTCCCACCCCTTCCCTGTGCCCCCCGCCGCCAGGCATTCACCCCGCTGGTGCTCAAGTGCAAGGAGCTGGGCCGCGCCATGCGCATCGGCACCAACCACGGCTCCCTTTCCGCCCGCATCCTGTCGTTCTACGGCGACACGCCTCGCGGCATGGTGGAGTCAGCGTTTGAGTTTGCGGAGATCTGCCGGAAGGTGTGTTTGTATGGGAGGGGGGCCGTGCGCACACGTGGCCTCCAATATGGATGTATGATATGCGCGACACATAACAACTTGCGTGGCGAATGTGCATGGGCTCCTGCTGAGTGGATGTCATCGCGTTTGTCAGGGCATGCTTGAAAGGGCAACGGCAAGGCTGTTTGCGTGTGGTTGAACTGCGCATAGGCAGGAGGGCTCGCGTCCGGCATCCAGACGCAGGGTGCCCTGCAGGTGGCGCGCCCTCTTCCACTCCTGGCATTCCACTCATCCCACGCCTTGAAATGTATTTACCCCCTCTACCTTCATCAGCATGACTACCACAATTTCCTTTTCTCCATGAAGGCATCCAACCCCCTCGTCATGGTCTCGGTGGGTGACGCCGCAGTGATGTTGCCTTGTCTCCAGGCCACATCATTCTGTGGCATGCCCTGCGGAGCGAGGTCCAGGGGACCCCAGGCAGCAAGCGCTACTTTGCACAGGGTTGTGCATGCTCGCTGCTTTGGGTGCCGCTGGTGTCGCTGTCTCCTCAAACTACAACCTGTTGCTGCTGACATCACCCTGACATCACCCAGGCGTACCGCCTGCTGGCTGAGGAGATGTATGCGCGCGGCTGGGACTACCCCCTGCACTTGGGCGTCACAGGTGAGACGCCGTAGGTGGCAACGGGACACTTGGTAAGGTTTTCAGCACAGAACTGGCATGCACGCTGCCCTGACCAGCGTAGGCCGTTGTTGACGTTGGTTCTGCCCTGGTACCTTCATCGCAAGCTTGAGGCCCCCGCTGCTTGTGGCATATTGCACGCGCAGAGGCGGGCGAGGGCGAGGACGGCCGCATGAAGTCGGCCATCGGCATCGGCGCCCTCCTCATGGACGGCCTGGGCGACACCATCCGGTGGGCGGCTGCGGCGGCGAGCGTAGCTGTAATTTGCCGGCACGGGGTGGGCCGTCTAGTGTGGTTTGGAGGAAACCGGCGGCACGCATTGTTTGCATTGATGCTAGTTGCTGGTGCCTGATTCTGATCAGGCCGCACAAGTACACCCTTGTCATTCGTGCAGTACAAGCGTGCTTGGCTGGCGGATAGTTGTCTGCACAGCCGCCTCAATACCCCTAGATTTTCTCCTGTCTTCCTGCAGGCACCCCCTCCAAACCCTAGTTTTGCTGCACGGGGACCCATGGCCACCCCCCCCCCCCCCAAATCCTGCTCATCCCTCTCGTCAATCAACCCGGACCCTCCCCCCTTACAAACCCAGCGTGTCCCTGACTGAGGACCCGGAGTACGAGATTGACCCCTGCAGCCGCCTGGCCAACCTCGGCAAAGCCGCCGCCACCGCCGGCTGGGGTGTGGCACCGTTCCAGGAGTCGCGCGACACCCACAGCTTCAGCCGGCGCGTGGGGGATCTGCCGCAGCAGAAAGACGGCGATGCGCTTGACTACCGCCCGCTGCTGCACAGGTGTGTGCGTATGTTTGCCGTCGGAGGGGGGTGAGAGGGACGGCGAATGAATGTCTTTTTGGCGTGAGGGTGCAGATAAGTGGTCTGTCAGGAGATGTGTAATGAGCACTAGGGGGTAAGGAGGCAGCAGAGCGCGCAAGGTGCTTTGCCCCTGATCAAGGCTCCTGTGTGCACCTGAAAATGGCCTGCCTTGGGCATTGGCTGTGTGGTGGCCAAGACTCCCTGCTCTCACTGGTCCTCTTGACCTCTGGTTGTTGCTGCAACATCGCCTGTCGCATTGTCCTGCCTGGCCTGCTCTGGATTAACCACCCATGGATCTTACACCCCTCTCCGGGATCCCAATTGTCAAACTCTCATCCCAGGGACGGCACCGTGTACAGCGCAGTGACACCCGCTGCGCTGGCCCAGCCCGAGCTGCTGTACCGCAAGCTGGGGGCCAAGCTGGTGGTGGGCATGCCCTTCAAGGACATCGCCACGTCGGGTGAGCGGGCCGCCTGTGGTCATCAGGGGCTCGGGGTCTGGGGCTGACGCATCACGCCGTGCAGCAAGAGGCAGTGCGAACGCCTCCATAGTCAAGCAGTAAGGGGGGATCAGGTTGGACCGCTGGGCGGCATGGCTCTGATTACAGACCCCAGCGGTGCTCCCTGGCTTCCCTGCGCCCCCTACCAGACGCGATATTCATGCGGGAGCTGCCGCCCAGCAGCGACAAGGAGGGCCGCCGCGCGCTGCGCCGTCTCCAGGAGGTGCGGGGCGCAATGCGGTTTGGACGTGATGTAACCTGAATTGAACGCAGCCTTGCAATTGCAGCTGCGGGCTGCATGGCCTAGAAAATTGGGCGCCGCCTTACCATTCCATGCCCATCGGAACGTGTGTGCAGGTTGTACTCCCTCAAATCTGCGCCCGCCTGCCTTGAATCCCTGCCTGCCTTGCACAACCGGCCTGACGGCTCTGCAGGCTCCAGGCCTGGCTAGCAAGCAATCTTCAGCTCATGCAATTCAGTTGAACCCGCCAGAACCCCCTTGCTCACACTCAAATAGGTGGGTGTCCACGTCATCTCCCCAGCTGCCACCCTGGCGGTTGACCCGCTGGAGGGGGCAGTGGCCCTGGTGCCGCTCAAGGACGCTGCCTCAGGTGCCGTGCAGCTGCCGCAGGTGAGGAACCACGCCACGTTCCTGCTCCCACTCATTTTACAAAACGGGCACACGGATGCATCCAACAAAGCCGCTTGCGCCCGCGAGATCAACAGGACGGCAGCGCGCCCGCTTGTTCGCTGCCCGCCTGCTGACTCAGCAATTTTGACATCACTCTCATCCTGTCCCTCATGTGATCCACATTCTAAACCCTTTGCGCCTTCAAGCTTAGAATATCCTGGATCCTTCGCCTCACAAATACCCCAGGGCGCTGCCCGGCTGGCGCTGGAGATTGACGGCACCGAGTCGGACGCGCAGCTCGCCGCTGCCAGCACCTTGGGGGCGGTCGTCGCACTCCTCAACGTGGCGGACGGCACCAGCCGGGTGCACGCGAGTCGCCGGGTCTTCCAGGCTCTGAAGGACGCGGGGGTCACAATCCCCGTTGTGCACCACATTCGGTTCGGGGAGGGCGCGGTGCGGGACGAGATTGTCATCAACACGGGCAGCATGGTGAGGGCCAGTTGGGCGCCACAGCCATGACGGCCCCAAGGCGGCCATGGAGTGGCTGTGGGCTGGTTGAAGCTGGCGTCGTCTGGCTTTTTCTTGTCGGCAGCGTACATGCGCGCACCCTGCATACGGCAGCGCCCCTCTTGCGACTTCTCGACTGCACAGTCCGCCCTCGCCACCCTCCCAGCACTGAAGCCCCGCATCACGGCACAACTGGCAGGTTGGCGGCCTGCTGGTTGACGGCCTGGGCGATGGTGCCATGATCGAGGCGCCGCACGAGGACCCCGAGTTCCTGCGCACCACAGCCTTCGGCCTGCTGCAGGTGAGTGCGAGCATACACGTTTTTTTGGGCTCCAGGGTGGGGCAGGTGCAAGGTTTGTGTGTGTGTGTGTGGGGGTGGGTGTGAAAAGAGGTGAGTGGCTGGGCTATCGCGGGGTCGGGGTTGTGGCGAACTGGGGGTGCCTGCTTGCTTGAGTGTTGGTTTTGTGCATTTAAGAGTCGATGTTGGGGGATGCGCGGGCGAAACGGGCAGGTCCCACGCGCCACCCTGTAGCCCACCGCCGCACTGTGGATAGTCCAATAGTTGGTGCCTGACCTCGCTGTCAACCCCTCCCCCGTGACCCCCTCCCAAAGGGCTCGCGCATGCGCAACATCAAGACAGAGTACGTGTCCTGCCCCAGCTGCGGCCGCACACTCTTTGACCTGCAGGAGGTGCGTGTTCGTGAGCATGCCTGGATGCGTGAACAACTGCATGCGCCAGTGCATGCGTGCGCATGTGCCCGCGCGTGTGCTTGTGCAGGGAGAATTTTGGAGGGCCGGGCATTGGCGTCTGCACGGGGGTGGGGGCATCTTTAGGATGTAACAGCGCGCTGCCTTGATGCGACAGCGAAGGGTCCGGCACAATCCCAACCCAAGTTGTGCCTTTGTCTCCAGACCCCACAGACTGCAGCCGCAGCCCACTGACCTCACAACTTCACACCCAACCGCCGTGTACCCACTCCATCCCACCCCCCCATTCGTTAGGTGACGGAGCAGATTCGCCAGAAGACAGGCCACCTGCCGGGCGTGGCGATTGCCGTCATGGGCTGCATTGTCAACGGCCCCGGGGAGATGGCAGGTTCGTTGCACACGGCACACACACACCGGGCCGCACGTGCGCACCTGTGCACTTCGTCGTCGCGCCCCTCTCGGCGCAGCTGCGGCTGTGGCGGCCGTCCCGCGCTCGTAGCGTCTGCCACTTCCTTCAGGGACATGCCCTGCTGATGCCCGCGCGCCGCAGTCGCGCAAGCGCTACTCATGCACCCTGGTGCTGGTTCTTGCACGCCCCATCCCTTCAGCTTCTCTCCACCTACTTTTGACTCTCAACCGCTTGGCCCCCCTCTGAAACGCTCACCTGTGCTCTACCACACACACACACACATACACACACACACACATACACACACACACATACACACACACACATACACACACACACACATACACACACACACATACACACACACACACATGCACGCACGCACGCACGCGCGCACATCTTTTAGCCACGCACCCCCCCCCCCTGCCCCCCAAAATTCCAACCCCCAGACGCCGACTTTGGCTACGTGGGTGGCGCCCCGGGCAAGATCGACCTCTACGTGGGCAAGGAGGTCGTCAAGAGGGCCATCCCCATGGAGTCGGTGAGGCGGGGCAGCTACATGGCATGTTTGTGTCCATGGCTTTTGGGCTGCCACCCCCAATTTCAGGGGCTGGGGATTTCTTTTTTCTGCCTGGCAGGTGTTGCAGGCGTGCATGTCATCAATGAGTTTGCGATGTGGCACGGCAATAGCTAGGGTTTGCGGCCAAGGGCCCTGATCTGGGCACGGTGTGCTGCAGGCATGGTCATGCTTGTATCTGGATGATTGGGCAGGCTGCCTGCTCACCCAGTGGTGGGGGTTTTGGGTCGAGGGTCAACAGCAGCCTGCGGCGCACATCGCTGCAGGCATGGCCCAAACTCAGCACGCACTCCTGGCTGTGTTGTGTTGCGACGCGGCTGTCTTGTATGGAGATGGGTGTGGCTCCCGAACAGGAGCTCGTGTGGTTGCGTGTGTGTCGCACAGTGCGAAGGGCTTTGAAGGTGCAGCGCGCAGGCCACGCGGGCTTTCCGGCAGCTTTGGCCGCTTGGTTGAGGCAGCTGGGCAGGGACGCCCGCCGCGGTGCATTCACGCGACGATGATGTCGTCCCCCTATTTTTTGGTGGGGCGACAGCAATGTGCACCTTCAGACTCTCGTTATCAAAGTATCGCGTGCCCACCCACTCACACTCATCCATACACAATCACACTCACACTTCAAACAATTCCAAGGCCTGCGACCAGCTGGTGCAGCTGATCAAGGACAACGGCCGCTGGGTGGAGCCCCCCAAGGAGGAGGAGGAGGAGCAGCAGGCTGTGGCCGCGGTGGCATGAGGCCATTGCCACGCCCGCGGCGGGCCACCCTAGACGGTGCTGGGCGATTAGTACTTAACCTGTCTGCCGTGTGGACTCGGCCACGCGCCGGCTGGCAGTGCGGCGCGCCGTTCTCTCTTCCCTTTTTGACTGCTGTGTTTTTGATGCACAGCCCTTGCGTAGCTCAAGCATCAATGCTTGCTTTGTCGGGGCGCATACATTGCCACACCCACCGCCGAGGCCACTGTGGCGATTGCCAACCAGGCGTGGCTGATGAGGAAATGTGTGCGTCGTCCGGCTGTGCGCGCCGTCATGTCGGGAATGCTTTCCCCCTTGCAAGCATTGGTTTGATCCGGGCCAACACAACACGGTACAATCATGTGTACTTTGGGCCCCGAGGCGCTGCGTGTACCGTAACCTATTTCAACTGCGAAACGCTCATGTGTTCACATGGTCATACAGCCATTGACGGCTTACACTGTGAAATGTGAGCATCGCACGGAAGCTTGGCTCATTGGCAAGCCACTTTCACGACAGACCATGTCCCACAGGTGTGCAACCAGCCGGCACCAGTGGTACGAAAACAGGGGCGTTGCGCTTAATAAGTATTACACTACACATAAGCCCCAATTTTGGACTGTATGGGCACCTCACTATCCAAGCAAAGGCATAGGGGCGCCCCCATGGATGCGCAGTGTATGCATAAGGAAATCAGTGGTGAATATGCACAGGCGGCCCCATCGCAACAATGCCAGTGTTGGTCAGCCGAGGCGGCAGGCGGCCCGCGGGGCAGTGTCTGCGAGACTCGGCTTTCCTTGGAGAAAGAAGGGCCCCATACATAAAATAAAGCCCATCGCAAGGATCTGTGGCCAGGACAGCAGAAATTACGGCCATAACCAGAAAGGCATTGCGCAGCTGCAAAGGTAGTAGGGCACTTCCTCAGCGGCGGCGTGGCCGCAAGTAAGACATAACACACACATGGTGCAGACAGCGCGCGCTTGGCTATGTGGGGTGGAAGGAACGGCGTATCGTAGCGTTGCTGCTCGCTCACATGGTGGCTATGCGGCCTCCACGCCGCAGGTTCTCGCGTTTGCCCATCATGCATGCGTGAAGGGAGGCCGCAGGACCGCGCAAGGGGCCGTAGGAGGCAGCAGCGCATGCACCCCTTGCTTTCATAATTTCGAGCTTCATTTGCGAAGCTGCCTCGCCGACGCAGGGCCATCCATGGCAGGGTGAGTCACAAGCGAGTGACTTGAAATGCCGACCAAAATGGTGTGTGGGAAAGCTGACGTGCAAGCCAGCCGGGCAGGCCAGCCGTCACCGCCCGCACGCGAGCGCGCGCTGGGACCCTTTATTGTCGTTATTGAATGCGGGTGCCCGCACTTTACCGCCGCCCACCGCGTGCGCCCGCGGTTGCCAGAGCGGACCCGATGCGCGTGGGGCTGGCCCTGAACACAGTGTGAGCAGTGCAGGCGGTTTGACCAGCAGTTTGCAAGCCTTTGGGACTAGGCAGGGCTGGAGGCCCTGCATGGTGGTCTCCTTGCAGGGTGGGGCACCTTCTTCCGGGCAACAGACCATGGAGCCGGGAAGCGGGCCTATGGCAGCCGCCGGCTCAATGAATGCTGTTGCAAGTCCAAAGGCTGAATGCCGGCCCGAAAGCGCCGCAACGGGCGGGGCAGCCTGCCAAAGCCAGGTGCCCGCTGCATATGCACAGCCAGGCTTCATGCATGCGCGTGCCCGCAGTGGGGGCGGGGACAACATGGGTCCCATGACACACGCGAAGAGAGGGTCGTGCAAAGAGAGGACTGGTTCTCATGCACGAAAGGCGTGCGCCCCGCCGCAGGTAGCAGCGCGCGTGGCTCACTGTACCTCCCAGCCGGCAACTTTCTTGTTGTGGTGATGCACCTGCCACGAGCCCCTAGGAGAGGGGTCGAGTGATCATCTCCGGGCTGTATGGTGCGTTGGCGTGGGTGGAGAGGCCCCACCGATCCGCCCAGGGAGGGGGCCATGGGTAGTATTGAATAGCAGAGATATCTATTATTGCAGCAGACGACGGTTCCAATGACACCAAGGGCGCCCTGGGGCGCCCCGCAGGATGCAAGTGTGGCAGAAAGGGCAAGTCCAGCAGCAGTGCACGCAGTGTGGTTGGCGACGCCCGGGGGGGGGG